AAAAAAAAAAAAAAAAAAAGTATCAGTTGGTCATTCTGGAACTGACCGGCCCCCAAGTAATTCAAGAATTTCATTCATCTAATTCCATCTGGATTCGAAAAAAAGACCCTAATAAGAAAAAAAGACCCCTAATAATTCTATATATTTCAACAGTTCGGGGGTGTACCAACTGAGCTATAAGGAAAAAAAAAAAAAAAAAAAAAAGGGAACAGTTCATGGGTGTACCAACCGACCTTAAAAAAAAAAAAAAAAAAAAAAAAGAGCTAAGACCCCTCTCTGAATCAACCCCCACGGCAATATCTAATCTTCTAGGAAGAGGTTAACCACCCAATGCAGCCATAGGGCCTTGAGCAACTTAGAATCGTGCAAGACTAAGTAGCATGAGCATGGTCTAGGTTCAGAAGAGGTTCAGAAGAGATTTAGAGCAGGCTGGGGACAGGTTTGGACCAGGTTTGGACCAGGTTTAGGTCAGAGGTTACGATCAGGTTGAAGAGATGAACAGTCCATCATCACAATTGAAACGGCTTGTGGCTGTGGTCGTGGAACAACACCTGCGGTCCCGGAAGAAAGATGCAGAGTTGAGAACCACCACTGCACACGAGGGGTGGCAGCGGTGTAGAACGGGCCTACCGGACGGCACAAGCTGGCGGCCCTCAATAGACCCTTTGTCCAGGCAGCATGGGGTTGCAGAGGTGTACAACGGGCCTGCCGGACAAGCTAGAGGGCATCAATAGACCCCTTGTCCAGGTGGGTATGAGGGGTGGCAGCAGTGTACAAGAGGCCTGGGGTCATTTCGGACAGGACAAGCTGATGGCCCTCAATAGACCCCTTGTCCAGGCGGCGAGGGGTTGCAGCGGTGTACAAGGGACCTGGGGGTCATTCAGGGGGCCTACGAGATTGCACAAGCTGGTGGCCCTTGATAGACCCCTTGTCCAGGCGGGTATGAGGGGTGGCAGTAGTGTACAAGAGGCCTGGAGGTCATTTTGGCAGCCTACCAGACCGCACAAGCTAGAGGCCCTCAATAGACCCCTTGTCCAGGCGGGTATGAGGGGTGGCAGCAGTGTACAAGAGGCCTGGGGGTGATTTCGGACAGCACAAGCTGATGGCCCTCAATAGACCCCTTGTCCAGGCGGCGAGGGGTTGCAGCAGTGTACAAGGGACCTGGGGGTCATTCAGGGGGCCTACGAGACTGCACAAGCTGGTGGCCCTCGATAGACCCCTTGTCCAGGCGGGTATGAGGGGTGGCAGTAGTGTACAAGAGGCCTGGNAGACTGCACAAGCTGGTGGCCCTCGATAGACCCCTTGTCCAGGCGGGTATGAGGGGTGGCAGTAGTGTACAAGAGGCCTGGAGGTCATTTTGGCGGCCTACCGGACCACACAAGCTGGCGGTCCTCGATAGACGCCTTGCCCAGGCGGGTACGAGGGGTTGCAGAGGTGTACAAGGGGGCTGGGGGTCATTTTGGGGGCCTACCAGACCGCACAAGCTGGCGGACCTCGATAGACCCCTTGTCCAGGCGGGGTTGAGGGGTGGCAGCAGTGTACAAGAGGCCTGGGAGTCATTTTGAGGGCAAATCGGACTGCACAAGCTGGCGGCCCTCGATAGACCCCTTGTCCAGGCGGTGATCCAGACGTCCAGGGTTGGGGGAAAAGGAAGAGAGGTTCGGCAATTTTGCTTTGCGTGCAACACAGCTTACCTTTTCAGCTTCTCTGTATGTCAAATATTCAAAGGGATTTGTACCAAAACAAGACAGGAGGGCCATTGCTTCATTATCTTTGTTCTTTCACATACAGCGCTTCCCCGCCTCCACCACCCTTCCCTGCCGAAACTACAGTCCATGCGGCGCACGCTATCTCGACATATGATGTGGCCAATCCAAACACAGCTGGTCAGACGCATGCACCACCGCTATCACACGCAATTTGCCAAGGAAGTGGACATCTGCTGATGCGCTTGCTGCTGAGCACTCAACAGCGCACTCGCCAAACAATTGCTGCAACGCTCGCAGAACAATCGCTAATTGCACTTGCTGAACAATCTCGGGTGCGCTTCCCGAACCATCGCTACGCTTGCTGAACACTCAACACCGCACCAGCCGAAGAATCGCTGGCGCGCTTACAGAACAGTCGCTGCTGTGCTTGCTGAACACAACCGCGTGTGCTTGCTGAATAATTGCTACGCTTGCCGGACAATCCACAGTGCACTCACTGGCGCGCTTCACAGGTGCACTACCTGAGCAATTGAGGGTGCGCTTGGTGAACAATCACAAATGTGCTTCCTGAACAATCACAGCTGCACCACCGTCTTCACCTGAATAGAACGCCCGGTCATTATCGTCGTATCTAGACAGAAAATTGCACTAAACACAGGTATAATGACAGAGTATTCTACTCGGGAAAAGGCGGCAGTTGGACAATTGCTGGTGCACTTGCTGAACGTTTGTTGGTGTGCTTGCCGGACAATTGCCGGTGCGCTTGCTGGCTACTGTCTTCAGCCGAGCTGGACGCCCTGTCATCATTCCTGTATATAGACAGAAAATTGCACTAAATTCAGCTATACCGACCAAGTGGGTGTTCTATTTGGGTATAGCTGGTAGCTGGACAACTGCCGGTGCACTTATTGATGGTGAGCTTGACCTCGCCGGTGTCCTTGCTGATACTGGAGGATAATTTGTCCAGCAACTGTCGACCACAATTGCTGCTGTAAAGTTGCACCAAATCCAGACCTTTTGTAATTAGAGGACAATTTCTCCAGCAAGTGTCGACCACCATTGCTGCTGTATCTTGACAGAAAATTACCCTAAATCCAGACTTTTTGCAACTGGAGGGCAATTTCTCATGGTGGTCGACACTTGCTGTTGTGTTTGCTAATGGTGGTGAAAAATAGTGTGCTCATAAAGCTGTAGGGGTATTAAGACTTATTAGGGATCTTTTTTTTTTCTTTTTTTCTTTTTTCTCGTGCTAAACAATCTATTGAGAAAAATGTTAACGCAATCTATGAAGCGGTTGAGGCTGAAACGAACTGGCCCAAACTACAGGAATACGAATGGAGCCGTCAAATCAGATGCCCCTACAACAGATGCGGGCACTTACCCCGGTCTGCTGAAGGCGAGCCCGAGTAGAAGATTGCCGGGGAGGCGCGGGCAGGAATACCCATGTAGTTTTGTCCAGTTCATTGATCATCAAAGTTATACCGCTTAGATCAAATTAGGGGCATATTCACACTAGGACTTTTGAGACTTCTCTGTGGACACGATTGCGGTCAGGTGCATCCAGGTCTGGTCGTAAAAGAGAGGTCAGATTCATCCAGGAACGTTCCTCGGGTGAGTGCGGCGCCCTTAATTAGAGGGGCTATCATTTAGCAGCACTCAAATAACCATTGAAACATCCGTGCCCAAAAGGAGAAGAATCTAATAATAAATAATAAAAATAAAAAGAGAAAACAGACAGCATATGACCCTGTCCAAACAAGCTGATCTTCTGTCCTAACTTGGCCAGACGTCAGACACGCCTACATAACGAATATCAAGTATGCACCCAAAAAAAAAGGAAAAAAAGTCAAGTATGTGCAGAAATCAGACAGCCATGCCAACAATGCACCCACACATTTGACATCAAGCATCTGCCCTCGCCGCTTCATAATGAGCCAGGCCGCACCTTGCTGCTGTTCTGACTTGAGCTGCAGCAAACACAGTCAACCACTAGACCAAGAAGAGACACCAGCTTGTATAGAAAGGACCTCTGAGCCAGGCCGCACCTTGCTGCTGTTCTGACTTGAGCTGCAGCAAACACAGCCTACAAGCAGAGCTGGCCTCTGCACTCCCACCGCAAAAAAGCAGACCAAGGACCACTGCTCTGCTGACTCTCATGGGCTCTACCTGCCCCTATCTGGCCAGTTCTGACCAGTTACGGACAATTAGGGGGAGTTGGAAAACGGTCAGGGAGAGCGGAGAAAAGTCAGGTACAATCAGGGACAGTTAGAGACAGTTAGGGACAAACATGGCAGTTAGGGGCAGTTATAGTAGTAACGGACAGTTACGGACAGTTAGGGACAGTAGTTAGGGACAGTTAGGCACAGTTAGGGACAGTTAGGAACAGGAAGGGACAGCGAGGGATGGACAGGGACAGTTAGAGACAGTTAGGGACAGTTAGGGACAGTTAGAGACAATTAGGGACAGATAGAGACAGTTAGGGACAGTTAGAGGCAGTTAGGGACAGTTAGAGACGGTTAGGGACAGTTAGAGATGGTTAGAGACGGTTAGGGACAGTTAGAGACAGTTACGGAGAGTGAGTGACAGTAATAGGAACAGTTAGATGGAGTTAGCACGGACTCGTCGGGAGAGTTAGGCACAGTCAAGGACAGTTAGGGACAGGGGCAGTTAGGGGCAGTTAGGAGCAGTTAGGGGTAGTTAGGGGCAGTAAGGGGCAGCAAGGGGCAGCAAGGGGCAGCAAGGGGCAGCAAGGGGCAGCAAGGGGCAGCAACGGGCAGCAACGGGCAGCAACGGGCAGCAACGGGCAGCAACGGGCAGTTAGGGGCAGTTAGGGGCAGTTGGGGACAGTAGTCGGGACAGTTAGGGACAGTTAGGGATAGATAGGGATAGTTAGGGATAGATAGGGACAGTCAGGGATAGATAGGGATAGTTAGGGGTAGCTAGGGATAGATAGGGACAGTTTGGGATAGCTAGGGACGGTTAGGGATAGCTAGGGACAGTGAGGAATAGTGAGGGACAATCAGGGAGAGTACAGGAGAGTTGAGGCCGTTTCGGGCAAGTAGGCAAAGTGCCAAAACACAAAAAAAGATGCTTGGTGCCTTCCTCTTCCTCTTCCTCTGATTCTGACAATTGACATCAACCTCTTTCAAACTTGCTGGCCTGGGTAAGTTCTACCCTGGCGTCGTTAGCATCTGTGCTTCTATTTGCTATGTTTGTGTTCTCTTCTCTTTTTGTAAGAATACCCACAAATACCCACAACGTATGATCGCAGCTTTGTTTTGACTTACTTACCTGACGCGAGTTACCAGTACTGCCGACATTGAGGCCAAGCTCTTGCAAAGTTGGGATCTCTCCCACCTTGACGCCACCTCGGGCCGGCAATGGCCGGAGGGAGTCCGGCGCTTGTGCAGTCGCTCTGACGCGCAGATTCTGCACCTTCTCCCGGAAGCCTCCATAATTGGACGGCATGTCCTCGAGCTTGAACGGCAAGTCTTCCAGATGGTAAAGGGTGCTTCCCCAGGAGTACTTAGTCTCGATGCCCTCCTCCTTCAGCGTTGCGGCCACCCTCTCCTCCATCTCTAGCTCCTCATGGGTCACCTCTTGGTGTGCATACACCGCCTCTGCTCCTACCTCTCTTGCGAGCTTTCCAATCACCTCTTCGGGCTTCCCGATTCGCACGACTAGATCGTTTCCCTTCGCCCTGAGGTTCTTCCGAAGGTCGGCAACGCACTCCAGCAAGAATTTGGCCCGATAAGGCCCCGTCTTGTCAAAACCGGAGGAGGACTTGCCATAATCGCGTGGGTCGAAGCAGTACACACAGAGAATCGACAAGGACTCGTTGTTGGCCTTCAACAAGGCCTCGTTGTCGTGGACTCGGAGGTCATTTCGGAACCAGACAAGCGATGCTTTTCGAGCACCTGGGGCACCTTTGGGGTCCGTAGAGCCTCTGCCCGTCGAAGGCAGTCTCTGAAAGTCAGGGAATGCCGATAACCGCCCCGCTCTGCTGCGGTCGGTAGAGCTCCCAGAGGTCATTCCGGCGGTCACAGACAAGTTAAGGCCAGCGGCTGCAGCACCCAAGGCAGCACCTGAAGACGCCTTCTTTGCAGGCGCTGGCAGGACCTTGCTCTGCGCCCCAGACGGCACACCCAACACCATAGCCGGCGCCTGGACAGGAGCAAGACTCGCCATCAGTGCAGATGCACCACGCGTCTTCGACACCTCCTCCCCCGCGCTCTGTGCAAGGGCCCCTCCTTCCTCCTCCTGCCGGGACTGGCGGTACAGTGCAATGGACGGCTGCTTGTTGGCAGTGGCAGGGCTGACTGATGACGATTGCCTTCCACGGCCACCAGCAGAGAGCTCGGCGAGGGACTTCGACACGAGCGGCGTGACCGCCATCGTAGCAGCCTGCAGCGCCAACGACAAGGATGCAGCAGCTGCAATCTGTGGCCGTGCCGCAAGCATCCTGTGCTCCTCCAGAGGACGACCTGCATTCTGCTGTTCAACACAGCCACCACTCTCCTCCACACACACATCTCTCTCTTTCTTCTTCCCTCCATGCAACGCAGCGCCGCCATCCTCGCGCAGTGCCGGCTTCGGCTGCGGCCTGGCAGACTCTTGCCGCCGGCCCGACAACAAGATCCTCTCTGCTCTAACTACATTGTTATCCATAAGATTTCCAAGTTCGATCAAACCGGAGGATCGCCGCGACGCGCGCCGATCCTGCGAATCTGGCACAAAGACACTTCCGTTCCGGACAACCCGCTCCACAGCTCCAAAAATAGAAGCGCGATCGACCTCGAAGAGGTCGTTCCCGCCCCCCACCCTCAAACTGACCACCTCCGGCAGGGAAAGAACATGCTTCCTCTCTTCTCCCCTCAGTGCTCTTTCCATCCCTGCAGTCCAATCTGCAATCAGCTGGTCCACATCTGGGACCACCACCTCCGGTTCCAGGGCCCCACTGTAGGTAAGGGCAAACAGTGTCACCCCCCACATTCCTCCACCGAACTTGTCCCCAGCCAACTGCAGGAGATTGAGGCTGGAGCTATCTGGAACTCCGGCCCGGTCCACATAGATGATGACATCAACGGCCAGCTGTCTTTTGATCAGCTGCCTCCTCACTTCCTCCAGATCTCCTGGCTTGGACATACCCGATGCTTCCAAAACATGAAGCTGTCTTCCAGACACAGCTTGCTGAAACTCCTGCAACTGGAAACGACCACGGCGACTGGACTGTGCGGCACCAAGACAGAGAGAGAAAGAGAGAGAGAGAGAGAGAGAGAGAGAGAGGAAGACATATTGG